CGCGGCTTCTAAAAATTGGTATAAGAGAAATTTTCTTCCTAACTTTTTTATTTATTTCTTTTAAAAGATAATTTTGAGTATTACACATACATAATTTTAAGATCCCGTCCACCTACACTAGGTCATAAGCCTACTAAACACTTATAACTCAATTTCTGCACTCGTGACCGAGATCCTTCTTCTTCTTTTTTGGCGCTGTAACCGCCTAAGCGATTTTGGCCGAGTTCAGCAAAGCACGCCAGTCGTTTCTCCTCTGTGCCAACTAACGCCAATTGGAAACGCCAAGTGAAGCCAAGTCCTTCTCCACCTGATCTTTCCATCGCAGTGGGGGCCTCCCTCTTCCTCTGCTACCACCAGCGGGTTCCGAGTTGAATACTTTCAGAGCTGGAGCGTCGGTGTCCATTAGAACGACATGACCAAGCCAGCGGAGCCGCTGTATTTTAATTCGCTGCGCTATGTCCATATCGTTGTAAAGCTCATACAGCTCATCGTTCCATCGTCTGCGGTACTCGTCGTCGCCAACGCGTAAAGGCCCGTAAATCTTCCGCAAAATCTTTCTCTCAAACACTCCAAGAGCCGCCTCATCGGATGTTGTCATTGTCCATGCTTCTGCGCCATATACCAGCACGGGCATGATGAGTGACTTATAGAGCGTGGTTTTCGTACGTCGAGAGAGGACTTTACTCTTGAATTGCCTACTCAGTCCAAAGTAGCACTTGTTGGCAAGAGTGATTCTGCGTTGGATTTCAATGCTGACGTTATTATCGGTGTTAATGCTGGTTCCCAAGTAAACGAAATTCTCTACTTTCTCGAAATCGTAAGTGTCAACAGTGACGTGGGTGTCAAGGCGCGAATGTGCTGACTGTTTGTTTGATGACAGGAGATACTTCGTCTTGACCTCGTTTACCACCAGACACATTCGCTTTGCTTCCCTATCCAACTTGGAAAAGGCAGAACAGACTTCGTGATTTTAACTTAGGTAGACAGGCAGTTTGTCAAGTACACGCCTTTTAGCGTTGAGTTTTGAAAAACGAGTATTGTAATAATGCATTCAAATAAATTGCCAAAAGTCCATACAGTTGAACACAATTTTAATTCCGTTCAAACTGGGAAAGACCTCTTCGCGTCGTTCGAGACTAAACGAGCTTTCAGACAACGCGAGTTACTTTTACGGGACTTTTCCAATTATATTGACGAAAGCGCAATGCCTACTGCCAATCAGAGTAGTACATGTACTTGGAATGACGAACTGTGTAAGCTTTTTAACGATATTGGCATATATAATAGTAAAAGTATAAAAATTGTGCTGCCTTGGACATGGTGGGCGTCAAGATAATGACGTTCTAATGAAAAGCTGGCTGGTGAAAGCGGTCTGCCTTGCCCAAACCCAATAGAAGAACCAAGTGCAGAAGGTTCTATCTGCACTCGAGACGAACAATTCGCGCAACTTAGCAAAAGAGAGAGGCATCTGGAGCAGTTTTTTTGGACTCGGTAGGAACCCATAATCGTATGCAGTGCTAAAAAAGACGGAATAGTTATTTCCCTCAGAATTATTCCTTTTTACTGTAGCCAATAGTGCAATGGGGTATAGTCATTGCGCTGGGTATGCAGTTACAGTTGCATGGCTATACTCAATCCCGACTCTTGCGTCCTCGTTCGCGCACTCTGGGCAACGTGAGCAACCCATGTGCGAGATGCGGTAACCAATCCGAGTGGAGCCTTGGGTCACAGCAGAAAGAGAGGGAGCTTCGGTGGGGCCACTCTGACTTATTCGGTTTAAGGGCTCACTGAAGTCTGCAGCGTCTGTTCACCAGTAGGTGCGGCTGCAAGCGGGTGTCTGCTTGGAGCAAGCGGCTCGCTATATAAACGTGTATTTGGTTGCGAAACCACCCCCGTCCCAGCAATGGGTTGTGCGCTGGGCTTGGGACCCGCCACGTAAAAACCACTTCCAGTGAAGAAGCAAGGCAAAGCCTCGGATGAGACCCCCCCTTATGATGACGACCACGGCAAACGTTTAAAGGACTACGATTTGAGGGCATGCACCTGGAATGTCCGGACACTTAATGGGGAAGGTGCCTCTGCCCGGCTGGTTGATATCCTCGTAAGGACAAAAGCTGACATCACCGCCATCCAAGAAATGCGTTGGACGGGGCAAGGCAAACAATGTCTGGGGCCTTGCGACGTCTACTGCAGCTGCCATGTAAAGGAGCGCAAATTCGGAGTTGGATTTGTGGTGGGAGAGAGACTCCGTATCCGAGTACTGTCGTTCACCCCGGTGGACGAGCGTCTAGCCACAATCCGCATCAAGGCGAGATTCTTCAACATCTCGCTCATCTGCGCCCATGCCCCGACGGAAGAGAAGGATGAGGCATCCAAGGATCTCTTCTATGAGCGCTTGGAGCGCACGTACGATCGCTGCCCCCGTCATGATATCAAAATCGTGCTTGGCGACTTCAATGCCAGGGTGGGCAAAGAAGGGATCTTTGGAACCACCGTCGGAAAATTCAGCCTCCACGACGAAACGTCCGACAACGGATTGAGGCTGATCGACTTCGCCGAGGCCCGAAACATGGTAGTATGCAGTACTAGGTTCAAGCATAAAAAGATCCATCAAGCTTCCTGGCTGTCTCCGGATCGAAAAACGAGAAACCAAATCGATCATGTTGTGATAGACGGAAGGCACGCTTCCGACAGTACGTACGACACGACGTACGCACCCTCCGAGGCCCAAACATCGACTCGGACCACTATCTTGTTGCAGCCAAGATACACACCCGCCTCTGTTCAGCAAAAAATGTGCGCCCAAATATGCAAGGAAAGCTTAACGTCGAAAAGCTGCAATCACAACAGACAGCAGCGCTTTCGCTACTCGACTCTCACAGCTGCTCTCAGAGAGCACTCTTCAACAAACCGACATATGCGAGCAGTGGAACCACATTTCCCGATCATTAAGTACCGCCGCCGAAGAAGTAGTCGGATTTCAGCGAGCCCGAAAGAACAACTGGTACGATGAGGAGTGTCAGGAAGCTGCAGAGAAAAAAGATGCCGCCTACAGGGCCACGCTGCGATCGGGCGCAACGCGCGCTATGTGGGACCGCTATAGGGATCTGAAGAGGGAAGCGAGACGTATTTGCCGCAACAAGAAGAGAGAGGCAGAAATACGTGAGTGCGAAGAGCTTGAAATGCTGGCCGACAGGAGGAATGCCCGATAATTTTACCAGAGAGTTAGGCGACTTACGGAAGGTTTAAAGACCGGGGCGCTCTCCTTTAAGAACAATAACGGCGACCTAGTAACTGACGTCCAGAGCGTACTTAAATTATGGAGGGAACACTTTTCCGCCCTACTAAATGGTAGCAGCACGGAAAGTTGTGGAGAAGAAGAACCCGAGCCCGCAGTCGATGATGACGGAGTCGACGTTCCACCGCCTGACTATGACGAGGTACGTAGAGCAATAACGCGGCTGAAAATCAACAAAGCCGCAGGAGCTGACAGCCTGCCAGCTGAGCTATTCAAGTACGGCGGCGAGGAGTTGATAAGGTGCATGCATCAACTCTTGTGCAGAATATGGTCAGATGAACGCATGCCCGACGACTGGAATTTAAGTGTGCTCTGCCCAATCCACAAAAAAGGTGACCCCGCCATTCGCGCCAACTACCGCGGGATCAGCCTTCTAAGCATAGGTTACAAGGTCTTATCGAGCGTATTGTGTGAAAGACTGAAGCCCACCGTCAATGAACTGATTGGGCCTTATCAGTGTGGCTTTAGACCTGGCAAATCCACCATAGACCAGGTATTCACAATACGCCAAATCTTGGAAAAGACCCGCGAGAAAAGGATCGACACTCACCACCTATTTGTCGACTTTAAAGCCGCCTTTGACAGCACTAAAAGGAGTTGCCTATACGCCGCTATGTCTGAATTTGGCATCCCCTCAAAACTTATACGGCTGTGTAAAATGACGTTGAGCAATACCTCCAGCTCCGTCAGAATTGGGAAAGACCTCTCCGAGCCGTTCGCCACAAAACGGGGTTTCAGACAGGGCGACTCCCTTTCATGTGACTTCTTTAATCTGATGTTGGAGAAGATAATAAGAGCTGCAGAACTGAACCGCTCAGGAACAATTTACTACAAGAGCGTGCAATTGCTGGCTTTTGCCGATGACATCGACATCATCGGTAACAAAAACCGCGAAGTCTGTTCTGCCTTTTCCAAGTTGGATAGGGAAGCAAAGCGCATGGGTCTGGTGGTAAACGAGGACAAGACGAAGTATCTCCTGTCATCAAACAAACAGTCAGCACATTCGCGCCTTGGCACCCACGTCACTGTTGACAGTTACAATTTCGAGAAAGTAGAGAATTTCGTTTACTTGGGAACCAGCATTAACACCGATAATAA